TGCTGCTGCTGCTGCTGCTGCTGCAGTTGCTGCTGCGAAGTCTGGCGCTTAAACATGCTCGTGTCTTTGCAGCAGCAGCAGCAGCAGCAACAACAACAACAGCAGCAGCAGCGCAGCAGCAGCAGGACTGTTGGCAATAAATGCCATAAATCATTCCTCTTTTTCTTTCCTTTTTCCTTTATTTATTTTATTTCTTTTATTTATTTCTTTTTTTATTCCTCCTTTTATTCCTTCTCTTATTTATTATACATTTATTATTTATATATATTTATATATACATTTATATATATTTATATATATTTATATATATATTTATATATAATATATATTTATATATTTATATAAAATATATTATTTATATATAAGTATATCTCCTCCATGTCTTGTTATTGTATAATCTTGTCTCTCTGTCTCCTTTTGCTGCTGCAGCAACTGCAGCATCTGTTGCTGCTGCTGCTGTTGCTGCTGCTGTTGCTGCTGCTGCTGCTGTTGCTGCTGCTGCTGCTGTTGCTGCTGCAACAAAAGAAGTTGAATAATTTATGCTTGTTTAAGTTCATGCTCAATATTATTATATAAAGGAGAAGAAGAAGAAGAAGGGACAGCAGCAGCAGCAGCAGCAGCAGCAGCAGGAGGAGGAGCAGGAGGAGAGGAGACAAGATGATCAGCAGCAGCTGCAGCTGCTGTATAAGGTACACCAGGAGGAGGAGGAGAAGAATAATTAGTAGCTAGAGAAGGAGAAGAAGGTGCAGCATCAATAGAAGCAGCAGCAGCAGGAGAACCACCACCACCACCACCAGCAGCAGCAGCAGCAGCAGCAGCAGCAGCAGAAGAAGAAGAAGAAGGAGAAGAAGGATTATTAATAAGAGATTGTATATCTTGTAGTAATTTATCATCAATATTTTTCTTATATTGTTGGGCAAATTGTTCAATACAGCCAGCAGCAAAGAGCAGCAGCAGCGCAACAACAGCAGCAGATATTAAGGAGGATACATTAATAAATCCAGCTGCTTTCCCTGTTGCAGCAGCAGCAGCAGCAGCAGCAGCAGAGCCACCAGCAGGAGGAGGAGGAGGAGCAACCTTTCCTTGCTGCTGCAGCTTACCTAATAGATCCATAAGATATTGCTGCAGTTGCTGCTGTGATCCAAAGAATAGATAAGCAGCAGCAGCAAAAGGAGGGAAAGAAAGAAAGAATTGAATAATATATGCATGCATATATTGATAAGGAGGATAGAATAAGAATACAAGAAAAGAAGATTGAATAATAATCTTAATAAAAGATTTACCTAATAATAAGGAAAGAAAGAATTCCCTAAATGGCATAAGGTAATGCCCGCAAATAATGCCACATAGATCGAACAATACATTAGGCCAACAAGACAGCAAAAAAACAGCAAGACTACCTTTTTCCTTAATTAAATTCATCATTAATATATTTATTTTACCTATTATTCTTCTTATTAATCTATTTATATTCTTTATATTGATGGGTCTATTATCTAATATATTTCCTCTATATATATATTCATCATTATCTTCTTCTTCTCCTGCTGCTCCTCCTCCTGCTGCTGCTGCTGCTGCTGCTGCTGCTAGATCCTCATACTCATCGTCTACCTCCTGGGCCTTTGCTGCAGCATAAGAAGCAGCATAAGGAGGCAGCTCCCCTAGGGCAGTACCGAATCCCCATAGGAATGCGTATGGTAGTACCTTAAGTAGTACATCTATAAAGGATGGATATTCACCATTTTTCTGCTGCTCCTGCTGCTGTATATGCTGCTGCTGCTGCTGCTGCTGCTGTGTCTGATCATCTAGACAAGGAAAGGTGTCTCCTGGGGTCAATACGCTACCCCACATACTATATTTAGTATAAAAGTTCGTATTATTGCATGCAGCAGCAGATATACATATTGAATATATATGAGGAAATAAGAAGAGGAGACCACTATGCATGCCACTACCTAATCCTATTGATGATAACACACCCAACCCCACCCACCATATAACAACCTTTATATAAATAAATAGATCTATAAGATAGGGTGTATGGGGACCTTTTATTATATATAATATATATAATATAAATATATTTATTAATAATATATATATCTTATTTATATTATTATTTATATATATTATTATCTTTTTTATATATATTATTATATATAATATAAAATATATTAATGTATTTATTGGTCTATTTATTAATCTTATTTCTCCTCTTTTTTTTTTTTGTTCTTTTCTTACTCTTTGCCAATCTATACATATACCTTCCTTACATCTACAATTCAATATATTATTCATCTCCTTCTTGCTGCTGCTGCTGCTGTCCTTGCTGCTGCTGCTGCTGCTGTTGTTGCTGTTGTCTTCTGCTGCTGCTGCTGCTGCTGCTGTTGTTGTTGTTGTTGATGGTGTTGTTCTCCTGTAACAGGTGCTGTTGCTGTTGCTGTTGCTGTTGGGGTCATATGCTGCAGCAGAAGATTGTTCTGTTGCTGCTGCTGCTGCTGCTGCTGCTGCTGCTGCTGCTGCAGTGGGGCATGTAGGCAGCAGAGGGGGAGGGAAGCCAAAGGCTTGTTCAAAGACATCTGTTATTGAGCAACATAATGCAGCAGAAGAAGAAGAAGAACAAGAAGAGGAAGAAGAAGGAGAAAAAGAAGAAAAAGAAATAGAAGAAGGAGAAGGAGAGGAAGAAAAAGAAGAAGAGGAAGAAGAAGAAGAAGGACCCGTCGTGGGCACCTTTAGATCACCTGAATATTCCCCCATCTTCTCAGGTGTATACGCAACTCTCCTCTCAGGTGTATACGCAACTCTCCTCTCAGGTGTATAGGCAGGTCTTTACGTGTATAGGGACCTCCTTAATTATACAGAGACCTCCTAGGGTGTATATAGGCAGGTCTCCAAGTGTATAGGGAGCTCCTTCGGTGTATAAGAAGCTCCTCAAGTGTATATGCAGGTCTCGAGGTGTATAGGCACCTCCTCTAGTGTATAGGCAGGTTCTGAGGTGTATATGCAGATCCTCAGGTGTATAGGCAGGTCTTCGGGTGTATAGGCAGGTCGTGGTGTATTTATAAAAGAAGATGACGCTCTTCTCCCTCTTGGGGTGTATAGGCACCTCCTTAAGGAAAGAAAGGAAGAAAATGTATACACAACGTTAACCCTATTATTATAAACCCTAAACCCTAAACCCTAAACCCTGAGACGTTATTGTCGTTGTTGCTGCAGATACACCGCACGTACGACCACTGCTGCTGCTGCTGCTGCTGCTGCGCCTTCTTGCTGCTGCCTTTTTACATTTTATTTCCTTCAATAAATAAAAATAAAGAATTAAAAGAAACAAAAAAAACAAACAAAACACAGTACAGAGAGGCTGCGATCGCCGCTGCAGCTGCTGCTGCTGCTGCAGCTGCTGCTGTTGGCGGCTCCGCTGCTGCTGCTGCTGACAACGAAGGCTGCTGCTGCTGCTGCTGCAGCTAAGCCCTTTAATACAATTAACGAAGAAATATTATTTATTTTTATTCTTCCTTTTGTTGTTGTAAAAAGACAAAAACAAAACAGAACAAACAGCCAACAAATTGCTGCTGTTGTTGCTGTTGCTGCTGCTGTTGCTGTGCTGCTGCTGCTGCTGTATACATACAGCCCCGCGCAGCCCCAGCATGGTAGAAGGCAGCAGCAGCAGCAGCAAGCTGCTGCTCTTCTTATTTGTCTTTATAAATAAATAATATAAAATAATTAATATTTATTTATTGGTATAAATATTAACATATTTATTGTACATATAATACACCAGACGCAGCTGCAGCAGCAGCAGCAACAGCAGCAGCAGCAGCAAATTCCTGCTGCTGCCCCCCAGAGGCCTCTCTCTCATCCCTTTCTAGCATATTGGATCTTTGTACTGATTAGGGTTTAGGGTTTAGGGTTTAGGGTTTATTTTTTTTTATGTCTTTGTCTACACATTTCCTTCTTCTCTTACTAAGAGGGAAGAGGAGGGGAAGAGTTATCTATGTGCAGCAGCAACAGCAGCAGCAGCAACAACAACAACAGCAGCAACAACAGCAGCAAGAGCAGCAGCAGCAGCAAGAGCAGCAGCAGCAGCAGACGACAACCATCCTTTATGGTGTTTATTTCCCCCCCTTGTCTGTCTTTATATTCTTTTTGTTTATTTAATTAATTCTTTTTCTTTCTTTTTTTTTTTTTTTATTCTTTTTTTTTCTTTTTTTATTAATTAATTAATTAATTAATTTTATTTCTTTTCTTTTTCTCCTTCTTTCCCCCTTTATTTATTTATTTTTTTATTCTTTTTCCTTTTTTTTTTGTTGTTCTTATTACGTATTTATCTGCTCCCTTAGCTGCCTATACACCTGAGCCAACAGCAGCAACAGCAACAGCAGCAACAGCAGCAACAGCAGCAGCAACCCCACCAAATCACCACCCCACAGACACCCTGGCCCTATTAGTCCCTTTCCTTAATGCTGGAGCAGCAGCAGCATGCGCGGCGGTTGCTGCTGCGTGCTGCAGCAGCAGCAGCAACATCATCCCTTGCAGCAGCAGCAACATCATCCCCCTCATCATCATCAGCAGCACCAGCAGCAGCAGCTTGTTGTCGAACAACAACAACAGCAGCAGCAGCAGCAGCACAAGGCCCTAAGGTGCTGCGCTGCTGCATCTGTGGCCCCCCATCAGCAGCAGCAGATCTTGCTGCTTATGAATGTATTGCTGCCTTTAATAATATTTCTCTTAATACTTTGCTGCTGTCCTTAGATAACTTTGCTGCTGCTGCTGCTGCTGCTGCTGCTGGTGCTGGTGCTGCACCACCAGGTGCAGCAGCAGATGCTGCTGATGGAACTGCGGCAGCAGAAGCAGCAACTGCAGAAATTGCCAATACAGCAACAGATATAACTGCAACAACAGCAGCAACAGCAGCAACAGCAGCAGCAACAGCAGCAGCAACAACAACTTCAACAGCAGCAGCAGCAACAGCAGCAGCAGCAGCAGAGGGAGTGCCTTGC